GAGTCGACGCTGGCGGGCTCCAACTTCACCCCCAACATCTCTCGGAGCAGCGCCAGGGTCGGATGCCAGGCCCTTGCCCGTTCGTCGCAGACTGAGATCGCGGCGGGCTCAGACTTCACTCGCAACATGTCTCAGAGTAGCGCCAGGATCGGCTGCCGCTGCCCCTGCCAGTCCTTCTCGCACGCGCTGATCGGTTAATCGAGCGCCGTCGCAAAATGAGGAGGACGGGCTCCAGTTTCACCCCCGGCATCTCGCTGATCGGCACAAGAGCCGGCTGCAACTGACCCCGCCAGTCCTCCCCGCACGCGCTGATCAGGGCGCCGCAGCGAATGCTGGCGGGCCCCAGCTTCACAGCCAGCATCTCGCCGCGCGCATTCGCCCCGCACGCGCAAGTCGGGGCAATGTAGCCGATGAGGGGGGGTTCCAGCTTCACCCCCAGCATCTCGCTGAAAAGGACCAGGGCCAGCTGCCCCTGCCCCTGCCTGCGCTTCTCGCACGCGCGGGTAGGGGTGAAGGAACGCACGTTGGCGGGCTGCGGCTACACTACCAACATCTCTCGGAGCAGCGCCAGGATCGGACGCCAGTGCCCCTTCGGCTGCCGCTGCTCCTGCCAATCATTCTCGCACGCGCCGATCGGGGCGCCGTAGCAGCTGGCGACGGTGGGCTCAGCTCCAGTTTCACTCCCACCATCTCGCTGGGCAGCGCCAGGACTGGCTCTCACTGACCCTGCCTTCTCGCACGCGCTGGCAAGGGTGCTGGAGTACACGTTGATGGTGGGCTCCAGCTTCACCCCCAGCGTCTCTCGGAGTAGCGCCAGGGTCGGTTGCCGCTGCCCCTGCCGGTCCTTCTCGCACGCGCTGATCGGGGCGCTGCAGTATACGATGGTGGGCTCCAGCTCCACTCCCCCCGTCTCGTCGAGCAGCGCCAAGACAAGGCTGCCACTGCCTCTGCCAGCCCTTCTCGCGCGCATTAATGGGTCGGGGCGCTGGAGCGGCTGGAGGTGGGCTCCGGCATCGCTCTCAACGTGTCTCGGAGCAGCGCCAGGGTCGGATGCCACCGCCCCAGCCAGTCCCTCTCGCGCGCATCGGCAGGGGTGCTGGAACTGCTGATGGCGGGCTGGTCCTTCTCGCACGCATTGGTCGGGGTGGTGTTGCTGGTTCCGAACTGGATCGACCTGCGATGGTCTCAGGGCCAGAAACAAGGCGAAAAGTTCGTCGCGCTGCTCACGGTCGCGCTGCTGAAGTCCATCGGGCTGCTCACGATGGTGCTGCTGGGGTCCGTCATGCTGTACACGATCCTGTCGGCGGAGCCCCTGGTGAAATCCCGAGTGTTGCTCAGGCTCGTCCTGCTGAGGTCCATGATGATGCTCCAGGCCAGGTGGAGCGCTCAGCTGGGTCGCCGCGCGAGCCGCAGCTGCCGCCACCTGGGCGAGGGCGGCCGTCGCCGCCAGAGCCCAGAAGCGGCCGCCGCCGCAGCGGCGTCCGCGGCGGTCGCGGCGGCGCCAGCCGCGCCCGCGGTGCCCACAGCGTCACCGGCGCCCGCAACGCCAGAAGCGCCAGCGCCGCCAGAAGCCCTGGCGGCACCAGCGGCGCCAACGAGTCCTGGGGCGCCCGCGGCGCCGGCGGCACCCGCGGCGCCCGCGGCGCGCCCGCGGCGCCCGCGGCGCTCGCGGCGCCGGCAGCGCCAGCAGCGCCAGCAGCACCAGCGGCGCACGCGGCGCCAGCAGCCCCAGCCAGCGGCACCCGCGGCGCCCACGGAGCCTGAGACGCCCGCGGCGCCCGCGGCGCCCGCAGCGACGGCAGCGCGGGCGCAGGCAACCGCCCGGTGCCGCCGTCGACGCGCCGCCGCGGTCTCCATCGTGCCGGGGCCGGAGCGCCGCACCTGAGCCAGGGGCGTGCTCGAGCCCAGACGGCTTGTGCCAGAGGGCTACGGACACACACACACACACACGTCCATCCTTGTCAAAAATTTGTTTTGCCACAACAGCTTGACACCAAGCCTGGGTCGGAGGCAACGCGGGTACACTGCAGGGCCTAAGTGGGCACAGGCAGGACCGGGAAAAGCGCAGACGAAGAGCGAGGACGGAGCACGCTAAGAGCATGAAGTTCGCATGCGTTTGTTCCACAGCACAGGCCCGCTAGGCAGCAAGAGCGCGTCATACGCGGCAATGTACAATGGCTGAAAGCCCGACAAGGCGCGAGCGCGCGGCAAAATCTTGGATCATGCGCGAGCGCCCCGTATTGTTCTGTCAAGGACAGAGGAAGGAGTCTCATGTTGCCTGGTTCGTGCGGGAGCACAATCCATGTCAAAAGCTCTACCAAGTGACTGCGGGTGCGCATCCCATGCACCATGATGACGAAACCACCGCCATGTTGCATTGACTTTAACATGGATAATGGGGGCCAGCATGTTTCCAAGTCTATGCTGCCACATGCACTGCCGCACCTGGCGCATATGCAGCAGGCGGCGCAACAGGCGCGCCTGGCCAGCTTGGGCCTCTGGGCGCCTGACACATGTGGTGCACGTGGTGAACGCGGCACGCGTAGCGCACCTCGCCTGCATCGCACACCTGGCATCTGTATTGGTCCCCAGTGGCTGTCCATCCAATGACGACCGCTGAATATACTGAGACTGATGTGTTGGGAGGGCGGGTGGGAGTGAGCCAGACGAATTGCGGCTCGCGGGTAACTTCATCACTGATCGCTATTAACAACACCCCCTCCCCAACCCGACAGGCAGCCAAACGGGCCCCATGCCAACACACACACACACACCCTAAAATCCCCGTCAAAACAACCATACTAAATACACGTTGCCTGCAAATCTGTAGCGTGCCCAGGCGCCGCGCGACCACTTTGCATTGTTCTTGACAGGAAAGACGAGAATGCCGACATATTGCTTGCTGCATGCAGGCCAAGACATCCTTGTCACAAAACAAAACAAATGCACTTTGCCTCCAAATCTGGCGTATTCGCGGGCAGCCCGCGACCACTTTGCATTGGCTTTTGACTGGGACGCGGGGGTGCTGGCATATTGCTTGCTGCACGCAGGCCAACCAAGACTGTCAATGAAAAACACAAAATGCACTGTGCGACGACATTTGGACCATGCGCAGGCACCCCGCGATCACTTTTGCTGCTGACGGCACCCCCTTTGTACTTTTCCAGAGGGGAGCTCTATTATCTGAACTTCCATGTGCCCCACGGCTTCTCAAGCTGCCACATGTTTCCCATCGGTGCAGGTCCTTTGCGCTCCCTGGAGGAGCCGCCCTCCTCACAGATGGTCGGCACTTCGCTTGAAGGGGATCCAAGACCATGCCCAGGCACAGGGGCACATCTGGCACACTATCCGCGCGCTGCGCGCGTGGTGCACCTGGCGCGGCTAAAGCACGTGGCACACTTGGCGCAAGTGGAGCACGTGGCGCACCTGGCGCGCCTGGCACGCTTGGGCCTCTGGGGCGCCTGGTGCACCTGGAACCCGGGGCGCACATGGCATGCGTGGCGATTCTAAGCGACATGCTGAGGCTCGGGTGCTACTTATGTGTTTGGAGTGCGGGTGGGAGCGAGCCAACGAATTTGCGTCTGGGAGGTGTGTCTTGACCCCTCCCCCTAACCCCCTACCTCTAAGTCTGAACAGGGGGGGCGGCGGGTCGTTGGGTTGGAGCGTCCAAGATGGCCCAAGATTGGCCGCAGATGGCCCAAGAAAGCTCACGATGACCTCCGAGATGGAACAAGGTAGCGCAGAATATCTGAAGATGACCTTAAATGGCTTCCAAGTCCCAAGCACTCGCAAGAATGCCTCAAGTGGCCACGGACCTTCCCAAGGAGGCTCCCGAGAGGCCAGAATCCTTCCAAAACCTGAGGAAAACAAATGATGTGCGCATTCTCGCACTCTCGCTTCCAGTGGGCTCTGAAAGCCTCTAAATGGCCGCAAGAGGGCCCAAAAGAGCGCCAAGAGGGGCACACGACGGCCCAAGACGGCCCCAAGAGCGCCGAGGAGCGCTTCAAGACCGTCCCAAGATGGCCCCAAGAGGCGAGTTGAGGGGCTCAAGGGGTGCGGGGCTAACTGAGGACCCCCCTTCGCTCAACGACAATATCATCGAACAAGCTGTTTTTGTCCAGATTCGGGTGGCATCCTTGGGTGGCTTCTGGGCAATCATGGCTCCAAGATGGCCTCAGAGAGCCCAAGATGGCCCCCACGATGGCGCCAGATACCCTGAAGTGGCCCCAGATGGCCACAACTATGTCTCCAAGAGGCCCCAGCACACCCCCAAGCCCCGAGTGGCCACGGAGCCTCCCAAGGAGGCCCCCAAGATGCCAAAACCATTTCAGAACCTGGGGAAACAAATGAAATGTACATTCTCGCCTTCTCGCTTCCGATTGGCCATCGAGGCCTCAAGATAGCTCCAAGCGGGCTCAAGAGAGCCCCAGGAGGGGGTCACGAGGGCGCCAAGACGGTCACAAGAGGGCCCAGGAGCGCCCCAAGAGCGCCCCAAGACGGACGGGGCTCCAGATGGGCAAGGCTGCTTGAGGACACCCCTTCTTTGACTGATGTTCTCCAAGATTGCCCCGACAAGGCCCCGAGAGGGCCTCAAGAGAGCCCCAAAGACTTCTAAAATGGCCCTGAGATGGCCCTGGCAAGTTGCCAAGAGGCTCCCGTACAGCAAAGGCATTCATGGTTCACTCCTGGGCCGGGTCAGGCAGATCCCAGTGTTCGGTTTGGCGGCTGCCCCCCCTCTTTGCTCCACTGCACGCTCCCGCCCTTCCCCGGTCCATGCAGCTCGAGTGGGCATCGTTGCTGGATGGGCTGGTGGCGATATTTTTCCTCGCGGGCGCAAGCGGAAGCGCAGGCGCCGAGTTGAAAGGTCCGGGCCACGGGCCTATCAAATTAGCAACGCGCGAGCCTAAAAGCACAGCGACCGAGCCCGGAATCAGAGCTGGTGGCGATACGCAAGGCGTCAAGACTTGTCCTATCTCCCTCGCGCCCTCTGAGGAGCGCGCCGTGGATACGGAAGTCCATCTGCTTGATGTGCTGGTGCACATTCAGGCCGACCTGAATGCAGCAAGAGGGGGCGCGTCTACGACTGAATACCGCTGCATCCACCGCCCTCTGGACACTGGTGCCGACACACCAAGCGATGAGCGGACACTGGATTGGAAAATCAACGGGCCAGAAAAGGAAAGAAGGCAGAGGTCCGGCCGTGGGCAAGCGCCATGCCGAACCCCGCTTGCTGGGGCCAGGGAGGCCCCGAGAGGGGGAGGGGGGGACTGGAGGGGGGGATCCCCCGACGAGCTCCCCGGCGCACCTCCGGGGCCGTCGGAGCCTCCGAATCCGCCGGCCCCCGCCTGAGAGATGGTTGGCGATCCTGCTCCCCCTCTCCGCCTCCCCTGGGGGGTCCGAAGTCCCGTCACAGAGGGGGGAGGCGAGAGAGGGGGGGGGGGGGCGAGCTCCTCAACGCATTCCCGGGGCCTCCAGAAGCTCCAGATCCAGCCTCCGTCGCCTCCTAGATGCCCCCAAGATGCTTTCCAAGACCGCTCAAGAAGGGCACCAACACGCCCCGATGACTTCAAAAGCACGATGGCCACAAGACTGCCCAGAGGCCTCCAGGACGCCCCAAAGAGGGCTCCAAGAGGACGCCGAAAAAGACCCCTAGAAGCATCGCAGCAATCGCTTAGAAACTAATACACTTTTAGCATACTCGCTTTTGTCGTCTGACTAACGTTCACGCTGGCCGAAAAGGTCCCCCACATCGCCCCAAAGGAGCCCACGAAAACCCTAAGAGCGCCCAAAGACGGCCCAGGAGAGCTCAAAGGTGGCCCAAGAGGGGCCCACTACAGCCCGAAAGGGCCCCAAGAGGGCCCCGAGAGGGGCCCAGGAGTGGCAACTCGAATTGACATTTCGAGGTCTCCGCCCTCAGAAGACCCCCCCAAAACCGCCAGGAGGGGCCCAAGCCCCTTAGAGGACCCCCCAGACCGCTAGGAGGCCCCCAAACAGCTCCCGAGAGGCCTCAAGAGCTCCCCAAACGGCTCCCAAAAACACCCTGCCTCCCCAGGCCTCCCCAGATGCTTCCGAACAGACCCCTACCATCCGCGAGGCCTCAGACCCACAACACAGGCACGCTGGCGAGTTCAACTGAAAGCCGCGCCACGAAATACGCACGTGTGCATGTCTACACATACATGCACACATACATGCAATCATCATTATCATCACCATCATGAGCATCAAAAGTATCATCCCCATGACCATCATCTCATAATCATCATCATGGTGGCCACCACCACCACCACCATCATCGCCGTCATCATTATCACCCTCCTCCTCCTTCTCCTCCTCCTCATCAGCAGCAGCATCACCATCCATCAAAATCCACCACCCCTCATGAAGCATCCACCATTCACCATTCGTCATTCATCCATCATCATCGCCATCATCAGCAGCATCAGCATCATCGTCATCGTCATCATCGTCGTCATCTTCATCATCATAATCATCAGCATCACCGTCGTCGTCACCATCAGCCTCCTTCATCAACATCATCATCATCAGCAGCAGCATCATCATCACCGTTAACAACAGCATCGTCATCACCATCATCAGCAGCATCAGCACCATCATCAACATCATCATCGTCTCTTACGCTCCTTGCCTGCGCCCACCCCATAATCTGGACCTCCCCCTCTCCTCCTTTTTCTCCTCCTCCCCCTCTCCACGGCCGACGCGCACACACGTGCATACGTACGTGAGCATCAACAACCATCCATACGTACATGTGTTTTTTCCTTGTGTCTGCAGATGTAAGCATGTTTATGTACGCACAGACGTACAATTCTGTATATAGATGCATGCATGCGTGTACGATTATCCGTCACGCTTTCACCGCTTTCCCCCCCCCATTATGTTCCTCGTCTCCCTGCCCTCGCCGAGCAGAACCGCGGCCTTGGAGGCGACCCGGGGGTCTGAACTCGTGGGACCCAAGAAAATCAGCCAGGCGGGGGGGATGAGGCCAATGGGACGCACATGGACATACTAGTACTATATGTTATCCTTGGAGGCGCGCGTCCGACCCGAACATAGTATACCCATCTTGTAGTATATCGTTTCCCGAGCGGGGTGGCCAGAAAGCGCCCGCCACGACGCATATACTATAAGATTTCTCGGTGCGCGCGTCGCCCCTGGGGGGGCGACGCACATATAGTATAAGTATGCTGGGGTGTTGCCGAGCCAAATCCGCTCAAAACCGGCCCGGACCCCTCCCAAGGTCCACCTGGAGCAGCTCTTCAACCCGGATCCGTGTCCGACGGCCCTGGAGGCCCGAGAACGGCCCCCAGCAGCCGAAAGCCCAAAAACCCTCCCTAACCCAAAGCTTCGAGCCTGCCCCCCCCCCGTGAAGAGAAGGAGAAGGAGGAGGAGGAGGAGGAGGAGGAGGAGGAGGAGTGACCTAGGACTACCAATTGGACACACGTGGCCCGCACCCCCCCTTTCCTAGGAGTCGGCCAGGGCGGTGAGCACCGCCGCTCTCCGGCGTGCGCGGGAAGCCCGGGACCAATGCTGGGCCAGTGCTGGTCGGGCGGGACCGGTGCTGGTCCACCTCGGACCCCCAGCTGGCTCCAGACCCAGAGAACATACTGCAATTCTGTCCCTTTTGGGAGGGTCAAGGAGCGGCGCACGCCTCTTGGATCCACCATCCGTCGCCTCCAAAATTGCCCCGATGGGACGCACAAGGACATACTAGCACGATGTGTCATCCTTGAAGCGCGCGTCCGACCCGAACATAGAATAAAAACATCTTACAGTCCCACCAACCCTTTGGGCTAGGTGGTCTAACGCGGTCTTTCTCTCCGCTTCCAAAACACCTCTTTCCTTCGGGGAGGGGGACCCTGACCCTCCCCTCCCTGAGGTTTTTGGGCGGGGGCCGCGAGGTGGCAGAGGGTCCTTTTTCGCCCAAGATGGCTCCAAGAAAGCCTCCGATGCTCCAAGATGGCCGCCAAGGTGGTTCAAGATAGCCGAAGCTGGCTCCAGATAGCTTTCGACATGGCTCCAAGAGGCCCGACGAGGGCCACGGGACGGATTCAAGACGTGTTCAAGTGCTCTCGAAGCCCCCACAGGACCCCCCAAGGGGCCAAAGATTACCCGACAGTATACCAGATCATATGTAAAACCTATAGTATACGACGACATATAAGTGTTCGAATACTATATTATACACAGCGACGCGATACCAAAAAATATGGAACAACAAATATGATGTTCAACATTACATTACAAAAAAGCTCTACTACAAATACGCTGCATACTATGGAATGATGACATATGTCATGGAGATATAAAACATAAAAATCAAAATAACAACATACTATTATATATCATGGTACAAGACGATCCACTATGATGTGACCTACATGTCATAACACAACATGTGATAACCTAGCACCGTTAAAGTAGATATATTACACGATGACATACTAGTGAAAGATAAGGTAAATACAAAATTTAGGATTGGAAAACGGATTGTGATATACTGCGAAGAGCAAAATATCAGAACAAACCATCAAGTATTGTAACTTATAGAGCAATAAGGAGCTATAGTATAGAATACATGCTACGCTAAAATGTGATACAATGAGATATGATACGGCCGTATAAAACATGATGAAGTGTAAAACGATATACACGACCTAGTATGATATGGCATGAAGAAATGAAAAATTACCGTATGCCAATACAAATCACTACAGTATACAGTAAAACATGGCAATATATTATACGAACCATATAGCACTATACACTACGATATAATATCATATCATACATAATAGTGCGATCGAATGCCATCAATATGATGTGGACATGTTGAATGATGCGATGGAATGCGAGCACCACGATAGTACAACGGAACGCACTACAATATAAAATGATACATTACAACGTACACATCGAACATATATCCATACGACAAAGTACAATGAAATTAAGATGATGGCAACGTGATATGATACGATGATAGTACGACGCCATACTATGATACGTCTACGCTCAGACTGATGATATCACATTACATGATAGTGCATGGCATAGCCGTGTATAATGCAATGGAATGTAGTATCACATGACGGAACCTATGATCTGATATTCTTTACGACCATACACGGTAAGACTAGAAATTACCATACATTTTACTACACTATACTATGACGATATCTTCTACTACAGATACGATAATATGACACATTCAGAGAATGATCTCGTATTGTATAGCGCCACAACAGTGTATAACACCAAAAACTGCAAAACTATCCCACAGCACATATATACAATGCAATAGAACGCACTGTATTATGCTAAGACATATGACGATACCAGATGATATACTGTGATAAAGATAAAGATACAATTACACATGACGCAGTGAAATAAAAATGTGCAATAACATGAAAAATACACACTACATGATACACCATAATACAAAAGAACACACTCCTACAAAAAAACACTCTGCTGCAAAACAATAGTATAATGCAAGAGACAATGTAATAAGATAACGCAACAAAACACAAAATATGCATTATTTCATTATGTGTATATATAGACATACTGCTATCATACAAGCTGACCTAACGACATGCACTACAGCATGATTTAGCATGGTATACTGAAGTATACCACACTACACCATAGTATGCTACGGAGTAATACCATAGATCGCACGGTGGGCAAATACAGTGCACCCTATATACACAGTTGATAGCACAGAAAAAATGGTAGCATGCAATAAAAACTACCCTGGCGATAAATAGTTTAATACAGCATAACATACTATGTTGTACTGATGTATGATATGTTAAGATAGGTCACACTGTAGATATACACCGTTTTGCCATATCATGTAACCAACAATCTACAAACAAGTATCAGTGATGTTTGCCGTATCGCCGTTTGGCTTCCGTCGCGCCTCTGAAGCCTCAAGATTGTCCCAAGATGGCCCAAGCGAGCCCCAAGAAGTGCCCAAAGATGGCCAAGAGGCCCCTAAAACGGCCGCAAGAGCGCCCAAGGTCGGCCCAAGAGCGTGCTAAGAGAGCCCCAAGAGGCAATTTTGATGACCCCGGGGTGGGAGGAAGCAAACTTGGAACCACCCCAAGATGAGCGGTGGCCTCGAAGATGGCCCCAAGAGGCCCTCCAGGGATCCCAAGGGACCCCCAAGAAGGTTCCAACAGGGCCTCAGGAGAGCCCGTAGACCCCCCAAACGAGCTCCAACAAGAGGACCCTAAGATCCCCCAAAAGAGTCACAAGAGGGCTCTAAGAGCCGATGTAGAGGGCTCTGTCCTCGTCCTCGCTGCCCTCCTCCTCCTCGCCCTCACCCTCGTCCTTGCCCTCATGGTGTTCATGTTCCTATTCTTCCTTCTTCTCAACGTCGTGGTCGCCGTCGTCGTCGTCTTCCTCCTCCGCCTCCTCCTCCTCCTCCTCCTCCTCCCTCCTTTCCTCGCCCCCACGCGGGCCCCAGGGATGGCCCGAAGAGGCCCTTCGAGGCCAGCCCCTCGCTCCTGGAGAATTCTCTGTTCACCCTGGTCGGCCGCTTTGCTTTACTATATGTGTCTCTTCGTCCCTGATCCCGCCAGCTCCCCTCTGGGGGGCGACGCACATACATTATAAGTATGTTTGGGTGGCGCCGACCAGATGCATTCCAAGAATGCGCCTCAGGGTGGGTTCCACCACGCCACAGGGGCCTTAAGAACACCCAGGAGTGCCTCAGGACTGGCCAAGAAGCCACCAAGACGTCCCAAGGGGGCCGCCCGACAAAAAACCCACGAAGGCCTCAAGAAGCACAAAGCATTGATCTTCCATGTGATTTTGAATCATTTGTACGTTTCGCGCCCTTCCGCGCTTCTGCGAGCCCCAAGGCCCAGAGACGGCCCAAGAGGGCACAGAGACGGGCCAAGAGGCGCCCACGACGGCCCAAGAGGCCCTCACCAGGGTCCCAAGAGAGGCCCAGGAGAGGCCCAAGCGAGGCCGCCCAAGAGAGAGAGACTTCGCAGGGGCCCCTGCAGCCCTCCCCCACGAGGTGGCCCCCAGGGCCCCCAGCATGCTCACGAGGGGCCAGAGCGAAGCCTCCAGAGGCCTCCAGAGGCAGCGGGCGCCCCGAAACGGCTACTCTGAGACCGCCCCCGATGTGGCCGAGCCCGGGCTTGCAGAGTCCTGCTTTCTCGGGGGCCCCGCCGGCAGGATGAAGAGGGCACCGACGAGCGACGGGCGGCGGGCGACGTTCGGGGGAGCGAAAGGGCAGGATGGCAAGGGGTAGGGTGAAGAATCAGCTCCATGAGCTGGTTTCCCTGGCGCCTCCTGGCGCCTCCTGGCGCCTCCTGGCGCCTGGAGGCGCCCGTGCATCGAGGCATGGGCCCCGCGGCGGGGCGGAAGCCAGCTGCATGCAGCAGGTCTCGCAACCCCCCCTTTCCCTGTCCTGCCTTCGGTGGCAACTCGCGGGAGCCTCCCATACCATCCTGTCGGCTCTTGCGAGTCGACGCTTATCGACGCTGAATCGACGCAAAACGACGCTATCTCATCGACTCTCCGACGCTACATCGACGCTACAGGCGGAATTGAAAGGGTACACCAAACTCCCACGATCTTGGGGAGACCAAAAGGTACCGATACCGCTACTCCCCGGACCTCTCCCGGGCTGCGTTCTGACCAGGACTTCGAGGCGAAACGGTGGCGACGAGGGCCGCCCAGGAGGCCCAAAAAGGGAAAAAGGAGGGGAGGGGAGAGGTATGGCTACCTTCTCCTCCTCTGAGATCTGCTACCGAACCCTGTCCTGCCTCCTCGTCGGGCCCGAGACTTGCGACGCGCGCCCGCGGCGACGGCGGCGGCGGCCACGGCGGCGGCGGCGGCCGACGCAGGCCGGCCGGCAGCGGCGCCTTCGCGCGCGAGCGAGCCGCCGCCCCCGCCGCCGTGGCGAGGAGCAGCGCCGCCGCGGCGGCGCCCCAGGCGCCGGAGGAGCCCGTGCGCCGCGCGGGGGTCCGCCCGGCGGCGTGGGCGGTGGCGGCCACGGCGCCGCCTGGGCGTGCGACGCCGCCGCACGAAACCCAGAGGAGACCCCCTCCAGCAAGGGAAGAAACCATGGCGGGAGGCTTCTCGTCATTTTCGGCCCCTGGGGGCCCTCGCCAGTGCTGGGACCGTCAGAAAACGTCTCAGGGCGCGCGACTCCGCCGCGAGCGAGGGCGGGAAGGCGAGACGGAGAAGGCATTCTCAGAAGGCGGCGGGACTACCCGGAAGCCCCTCTCAGAAGGCGGCGGGACTTCTCAGAAGGAGAAGGCCTTCTCAGGAGGCGCCGGAGGAGCCCGTGCGCCGCGCGGGGGTCTGCCCGACGGCGTGGGCGGTGGTAGCCACGGCGCCGCCTGGGCGTGTTACTCCGCGGCGCGAAACCCAAAGATGGGCGTCGTTGAAAAATCAGGGCGGCCAATTTTTCGCTATCTTCGGCCCCTGGGGGCCCTCGCGGGCCCCTGGGACCGTCAACAAACTGCTCGGGATATAAAAAGCCGGTCCTGGGGAAAGGGTCCGGACTTCCCGGGGGGCGCCGCCCTGAAAGAGTCAGGACGTCGCATTATACCGAGCCGGCACGGGGAATGGCCGCCCCAGCGATGGGGAGGCGTTGGGGCTGCCGCGGTCGGCGCGCGCTGGGGAAGAAGAGTGCCGATCTCGGCCAGCTGCGGGCCCCGTGGGGTGTCCCACAGGGCCCTCGCGCCGCCCGACAGGGCTCGAGCCGAGCGGTGTCTGGGCACCTTCGTGGACCGTCTTCGTCTGGATCCTGTTCTGCAGCAGGTCGGCGGCGGGCGAGGGGGGGGAGATGAGAAGGAGAGGGCCTTCTCAGAGGGCGGCGGGACTGCCCAAAAGCCCTCTGCCCTCTGAGAAGCTGTTTTGTCTTCTTCCCGGGGACGGCTTACAAAAAACTGCTCAGAAGGCCGGGTGACTTCCGAACCCCCTGAGCGGGCCTTCTCCTTCTCACCTCCCCCGCTCGCTCGCCGCCGAGTTGTGGCAGGCTCGTGTGGCGATGGCGTCGGCGTCGGTTTCTGACGTAAGGACGGCTTTCTCGGGGCTCTGGTCAGCGGGGTAAAAATGGCTGAGGCTCCAGCCGCTCGTGCTCCCGCTTCTGCACGTGCTGCTGGTCCTTCGCCCTCCCCCTCAGCTCGCGGGTCAAGCCATGTAGTCCCCCCGCTTACAGGAACCCCTGAACAGTGAGATTCGACTAACACCACGTCGATTGTTCAACCTCGAACGATTGCAGCTTTCCGATAGCGCACATCGTTCCATGTGGGCCGGTTCCGGACCACTGGCGGCGTTCGAAATTGAACGCCCGTGCTGGGGTCGCCGCCGCGTCGACACAACACGAACCTGCCGCACGAGGATATTCCCGGAGGCCTAGC